CTGTGCAACGCTGCTATTTGTATTGTCTGTATTGGTTCTTGAACGCTGATGTGATCTAATACACTTTGCCCAAGACAAATTTCCCACGGGACAATAAAGTATATCTCATCATCTCATCTCATCTCATCATCACTTTTAAAAAACGCCAAGGTCCCAGTCCAAACAGGGTACAAGTGGAAGGCTGAAGAGGAGGTCAACCAGGCCATCAGCAAGCTGATCCACAATCAGGGAGAACTGGCCTGGAGTGGGGAACAGCTCTAAGGTTTGAGTAAAGCTATGCAAAAGGAGAGGAAAGACTTCATGGTTGCAGAGGTGGTCTGGGCAGAGGAGGAGCAGTTTAAGATTAGAGTGCCAGGCCAGTGGCAGCAAGGATGTCAGACAACCTAGGAAGGAGTAGTCAACAGGACCATCAAGTGGCGGATCATGTGAAAGATGCCCTAAGCAAAGTAAGCTTCCTCAATCGGGCCACTTACAGGCCCTCCTCTGTCTCAGCAACCTGTATCGGTGGTATGGCTCCAAGGAAAATGCCGGACTCTGCAAAGCTCCAAACCCAAGCCTGCAGCACATCCTGTCCAGCTGCAAACAGTGCTGGCTCAGGGTTGATACATGTGGCGTCACGACAAAGTCCTGTTAAAGCTGGCAGAATTCCTTGAGGCACGCAGGCCGGAAGCGACCAAAGACCATCCTTCAAGATCTTGGAAGCTGAACCATTTTGTGGGACAAGCGGCAGGGCCTAAGAACATCACCCAGAGGCAAGGAAGATCACTGCTAAAACCTGGATGTGCCTGGAATCTAAGAGTGGACCTTGATTGGCAGCTCAAGTTCTCGCTGGAGATAGTCACAACTCCTCTAAAACTAGACATCCTCCTGTGGTCCTCCTCAGTGTGAGCAGTGACCATGGCAGAGCACACCATCCCTTACGAGAGGAAGAAGGAGAAATACATCCAGCTGGTGGCTGAGTGTCAAGAGCCGCAATGGTAAACCCTCATCTGCCCTGTGGAGGTTGGCTGCAAAGGGTTTATCGAAGCTTCCATCCAGCGTCTCCTGAGAAACCTGGGAGTGACTAGGCCAAAGCTGAGAAAGGCATCCAAGGATTTGGCAAAGGAGGTGTAAATAGCCAGCATCTGGCTTTGGCTGAGAAGGAAGGGTAGGGTGTGGGGAGAGCAAGGATCCTAGAGGTAGCTGCAAGGGGTGGTAGGGAGAGGTCCCTGGCGTTGTCTCCACCACCATGAGATGTTCACCAATCAGCAATATCCGCTGTGCAACAGGTGGAAATGCCCTGCAGGTAGCTCTTACCTGTGCTTTCATTTATTTCATAGAAATGAAGTGAAACTGGATTTCTATTTTGAGGTATGAGCTATGAAGACTGGCATGCAGACATATCAGAGATGTTTTAGATTTACATCAGAGCACACAAAGGACTCAATTAAAATAAAAATATGATAGGAATTTATTATACCAGACTCCTGTTCCTAATCAGCCTGCTGTGTTTCAAACTTCACTCTGATTGGTTAAAACCCCCCAAACAGTGGTTATTAATTCTGAGTCTAGCACATTTCCAGTCCAGTTTATGATGGCACCATCCCCGTTGACAATGTAACAGAAGCCTTAGTTTCCAACACTGACAACAAACACTGAGGACACTTGTCAATGTTGTGCAGTTTTGGTACCAGTGCCTGTCCAACCCCCCTACTGTGGGAAAGGTGCTCTGATGCATCTGTACTGTCTTGATAACCATAAACAGCTCAAACTGTCTCTGTGTTTCTATAATTTCTGCATGGAAAATTAAAAGTGTTGAGCCTGCAGGTTTTGGAGTGACAATGTTTCCATCCAGACACTTGTTTTTTTTTCAAGGAAAGACTTTGCATACTTGCATACTTTGCAAGGCAATACCAAATTGTATTCTGAACATATTACAACATGGTGCCTCTGTAGTAGAGGAGCACAGGTGTTAAGGTGGTCTGCCCATAATCTTGACTAATCACCAGATGAAAACATTTTATAAATCAGGCCCTCTCCTAAGCAGCTGAAATCCTTTTACTGTACCCAGATTTTTAAATTAGCTTGTTTTTAGGTTTCAATTTAATTTAATTTAATTTAAATTTTTTTACCCGAATTGAATAATTTCAACACAATACTTTTAGCTGGTCAGTACCTTTATAAAATGAAGTTGCAAACTTGCCCTCATACTATAAAAAAATGCACCACATTGACAGTTTACGCCTTGATGCTGTCTTTGTGCTCTTTTCAAGTAAAAGTGAGTTTGAATGATTTACATTGTATCAGCAAATTGGTTGATGACACCACCTAGATGAATAATGGCTTCCATCTTACCTCCAGCAAACCAATATCTAGAAAAAAAACGGATACACACAGACACACACTGAAGTGTCCGCAGGGGCTGTCCACTTTGATGATGAAACAACAGGGCATTAAAAGGTGGAAGATGAAAGAAAAACAGTTGAGATACTGAGAGTTACACCGGCTGAAGGAAGCTAAAGCCTAAAGACAAACAGAGCAGGATCATCCCCACAACAGCAGAGCACACTGACTCTGACGGGCTGCTGTCTTCTCAAAAGGAAGGGGGGTCTTCATGACTTCAAATGACCTTGTTATCCCTGTTGGGATCAGGCTAAGAATACTCTCCCTGTTAGTTTTCCCTGGTCAGGTTTCATGTGGGGAGAAACCAAAGACTGCAGAGTTTCCTTTTGGTCCAGATCAGTCCTGATGGACTGGTCGAAGGTGTAGGCCCGAGGACTTCATTTCCAACAGTGTTTCTTTTATTTATCCAGCCACAGACACTTCTGTTCCATACAAACAGTAATAAAGAGTTTGCATGCTTTCAACACTTACCACAGACACTACAAATTTTATGTTCAGATGTTTCTACCTTGTTTCACTTTATCTTTACTTTGATTATGTTTTACAGAAAACTCTATTGTAGCTGCTTTTTCATGTCTTGGTTTAGGCACCAAAGCATTTTGGTCAATGGAAAAATCATGTCATGTAATTTCAACATTCTTCTTCTTCTTCTTCTTCTGAAATGAGAATTAGACTTTTGAATCACAGGTGAACATCTTGGTCTGACTGAATTTGCCTTAAATTTCTCAAACTCAGACTAACATACCAGGAAAATTCTGTTGGGGATGGATGTTTTTTTACTTCTGAACTCACATCTTCAAAGGACCCAAAGCGGCCAAAGAGGTTTGTGCATGCTTCACAGTTTCCAGACTTTAAGCCTGAAGCTGGGTAGTCAAACCTTTAACAGAGGAAGAAGGGAAGGAAACGAGACAATGCGTACATCGAGCATTTAAAAGGTATAGAGCTTATACTGTGCGGCCTACAACCACGTGCCCTCCAGCTAACTTGTTGATTGTGGTATTTGAAGAACTTGATTAAGCAAGCAAAAGTCGATAGTAACCATCTGAAAGAGGGCCTCTATAAGGGGGGTGGGTGTCAAACCAAATTATTATTCCCAGGCTGAAGAAACAGCTTTTTCTTACTTTTCCGCAGCAGTGAAGACACAGGAGTAGCTGCCTTGTCCACAAGGGGTGCTAAAATCAACCCAACCAGAGATTTTCTCACAGGACCTCGACAGTTCAGAGACTTCTCAGGGCAGTTCCTCTGCAAGGTCCTCACAGCCCTTCCCGTCCTCTCACCTGAGATCCCAGGTGAGAGGACTACATAGAAGTCTCCATCCAGGGGACCACATATCAAAACATCTGATCTGTGGGAGAGTGATCAGTCTTAGCTGAGCAGAGCAAAGATATATTTTGTTCAACCTGAAATACCCGTGATCTCAGGAAACATCAGTGATTATATGCCCTAGAGCATCAGGGGCTGTTTCAGTCATGCTGTGGTCTGCAGCTTCTACAGAGGAGACACTGATGGATTGCTGACCACATACAGCTAAGTGACAAAACAAGTCGACAGTATGTAAACACTGCATTAATGATCAGTGGTGTATACTGGAGCTCTCTCAGATTCCTGCATGTTTACCCTTTAGATTTAGAAATATGACCAATAGTGAACTCATTATATACTCGTGGACTTCAGAGATATCAGGGCTTCAAGTTTAGGAAGCAAAGAAGGATCTTAAAAACTGTTTTAGGTGCTATATTACATAAAAAGCGTGGTGAAAGTAGCTACTAAGTTCTTGAGGATGTTCACCTATATCTCGTTTGGTGCTTTGGGTGGACTCTCTCTCACTCTCTGTAGCTCTCCCTTGGTGGGTTGAGTAACCCAACTTCATTTAATCTGCAGAGTCCCTGATCTCTGACAAAAGGATATGTTCCTGGATCATGTATGTGCAGTCTCCAAATCTGCAGCAGCTATCGTGCTAACATGGACCAAAATCTCTGAGGAATGTTTTGTTGAATCTGTGCCATTAAAAATGTAGGGCGAGGCAAAAAGGGACAACCCAGTACCAGCAAGGTGTACTTAATAAAGTGGCCTGTGAAGGATGGAGTGCTGTGAGGGTCAATGTTTGTGAAGACTGTCCTGCAGAGTTAAGTTCATATTTGAGAGTGGATACTACAAATACGTATGTGTCAGTGACTTGACTGTAAATGATCCTTTGATAGTTCTCAAACTTCATTATTTGCTCACTGAAACTTTTGAAACCAAAACATTTTCTGGAAACCTCAAGAACACGAGTCCAGCAAAAACTGGGTTTGTGTTTCCCTGCAATATAAAATGACTGTCATAATTTTAAAAAATCTTTTCATGGAAATTATGAGTGTACAATATTCAGAGTTGAAAGTTAAGAACTGATCATTTGTATAAATATCATATTAAGGATCTTGTTTTGAATCTTAAAGACCTGTCTTGATGAGATTGTGCCTTGTCTCTGTCCCAGATTTAGTATGTACAAATACTGGGTTTAAACCATAACCCTGAAACCTACAGAATGATAGTCTTAAAACATGTCTACAACACTCAAATACATGTTGTATTGAACATTTGTTTACAATGGTAAGCAAGCATGTGCCAAACAAGAGTTTGATATCTGTATGTTAATGTACATTTATTACATTTTAAATAAATATTCCATCCTTAAAATTATTATACACATCCTCAAATAAAAATATAGTTTTTCATATATATATATATATATATATATTTATAAAAACAGACATTTAGGGGGGAGACAACAAGAACACAAGAGGGTGAGGGGTAGTTTGTGTCAAGGGGCTCCTTACGCTTCAATGCATTTTTACACACTAACATTTCAGTCAGGACAGGAAACCTGTGATTTCCAAATGTAGCTGCCACATCGCTCCCTCAGATGCTATTAAAGCTCTCTTTGCTTTAACTAGGAGAGAAAGAAAAAGAGTGAAACTAGTCAGGATGCAGCATCCAGCAGAAGCTTTCACACTGCAGTGTTACCACCATATGCAACGTTTACTGACACCTGGTGCTCCCCAACACAGTGTGTGACAGTTTGTGTCCCTAAACGCAGCATTCCTTGGCAGTGCGGTCAATCAGGGCCCTTCAAGTCTCCTTGAGCAGCAGGTGAGAGTCAAAAACTGACTCCACTGGTCAAAATAAAAAACAAACTTAGCACAAAGTACTCTACCAAGGTGTCTTTGATAAGTCTGACAAAAAGATATGTGCATCTAAGAACAACATTTCCTCTTTTTTGTTTTTTTTCCACACAGGTCAGCACTTTGTCTGGAGTACAAAAATAGATTTCTTATTTTTTTGTCTATTTACAGCTGTTTTTTTTTTTTTTGAGAAAAATAGAAAACAAACTACACAATAAGATATAGTAATGCTCAGTATAAAAAAAGTCTGTAGAGGTTTTCATGGAGAGGAGAGGACTTTATCAGCTGCTGAGAGTACAGTCAGTCTGTCAGTTTTTCGCTGTGGTTTCTGTAATCCTCCTCCTCCTCCTCCTCCTCCTCAGCGCTCTGATGAGTATCTTGTACGTTTAGTCCTTTGACTGAAGGGGTAGTGGATGAAGTCAAAAGGACGGTGGTGACTTGGGTGGGCGGGCTGCTGCCCCTTCGGGAGCCTCTTCATGAAATGGACCTCACGCTGGTGCTGGCGTGTCCGCGAGCCTTTCCGCGGTCGGCCTCGTCGAGTGAAAGCCATGTACCAGCTCTCATATCGGGCGTTCCTCAGGGCTGTGTAGTTGTTTTCCAGAACAATCTCAGTAAAGATGCAGTCACGGCCTTGTCCATTTTTCTGTAGAAGAACACACACAAACACTGTGAGCAGGGATGATCAGAAAAAAACCCTCAAAAATACTCAATGAAGATTTACAGATGGGAAATATCAGATGTATAAAGGCTTCCCTGTGCAGCCTGTCCCCTGCATGCACACACACTCTCACACACTCTCACACACACAGCCCTCCCCTCTTACATGCAGCATATGCTACAGTCATTACAGATCAGAGAGAGGGGGATGACAGTAAGCGATGACTCTTCTCCCCCTTCAGAAAACATCCAGCAGCTCTTGTAGGTCAGTGGCTGCAGGACGGATCCTCCTGCCATAAAGCCCTAATCAGCCCTTAGTATCACTTTCATCCCCAGTTTGATCTGTTGCATTCATTCACGGATTGGCTAAATTTATCCTCAAGTCGGCTTGACTTTTATATCAATCCATAGATCTTTGACTGCATCTCAGCAGTCATCCTCTGGGTTCAGTTAAAGCCCCATTAAAACAGGCTTTCACTCAAACAAGAGAGCAAGGAGGACCAGAAGGTGAACGTTAAGATGGTAGAAGTGTGACCTCCCAAAAAAAAAAAATCATATCAATGTCTCCAGTGGTAAAATGTACAGTAAGGTCAGCTGACGCAGTATTCACTGGCAAGGACACACAGTGCTAACCTACTGTATCAAGCTCCCACCTTTCTGGACAAAATAGTGTGTTAAAAATAGTCATGGTACACTCGTGTGCACTGACATACAGTCAAGAACACACTCTTTCTCTGTTTAACACACACACACACACACACACACACACACACACACACACACTGGTGTCGGGGCAGGCTGTGACTGGGCCCGTAGCTCAGGACAGATGGTGTACGGGGCAGGGTGCTGGGTGGGTGGGGGGGTATGTGGGGGGGCTGGATAGAGGATGGCAGCTCTGTTTATTAGCAGTAAGAGAGGAACGCTGAAACACACATACCTAGATGCTCACATGACAGCAGCAGTATATTAAACTAACCTGCAGCCTTATGTTGTTGAAAGACCTCATAGTGAAATACTCAGCCATCACACAACTATATCAACAGTCTGCAGAGATTTTAGAAATACCTTACATTATCTAGCTCTATAATCCTACTTACAAAGTGACAGCACGCACGCACACACACACACACACACACACACACACACACACACACACACACACACACACACACACACACACACAACAACAACAACAACAACAACAACAACAACAACGACAACAACAACAACAACAACAACAGTAAAATTAGAATATGTCTGTAAGTGCATGTTAGACTCCTGCAGATATTTTTAACTAGTTCCTCTCCTTCGGTGGATGAAGCTTGTTGATTTAGGCTTAATTTTTACCTGTAATAATACTAAGGTCCTACAAGACTTCTTTCTAATTTCTAAAATGCTCACCATTTCCTTAAAGATGTTTTTTTTTTATTAATAAACAGACTGACACTGTAAACACATTTAGTTAAATGCTGTGTAATTGTTTGGCTATAATGTGCAAAAGTGAACTTATTTCATTTCATATTGTAATTTCATTCATACAATAAGAGATAAGAAAATACAACCTACTTTTTAACTTATTTAAAGTCATGTATTAAGAGAAGAAGATTGATGGATCTTGTGTTATTTTCAGGCTAATTCACACATTTTTGCCTTAGTATTTACTGTTAGTTTTATTGTAGGGTTTTCCTATTTTCTTTCACACAAGAGAGTACTAGATGATTTTAAGTGTATACTTTCTCTACTTTGTAATTCATCAATTTCTGCTCTCAACAATTTGCAACTGTCCTTCAAGAAACTCAAGCCTTCCTGCTCTAACTCTGACAGTCGTGCTGAAACAACTGCTGACATTTTGACCCTGGCTACAATAAGCTAGCCAACCTTTTGCCTCTGCTCCTGCTAGCTGAGGTCAGCTTCTCTCCTCACCTTGCCAATGAGCTTCCCTCTCTTGTTCATGCAGATGTAGAAACCCGTCTCTGCTCCCTTGATGCGCACTCGGCTCCCAAATGTATCTGTTTCCACGATGAGTTTGGCTATGAAAGAAAGACAAAAAACTCTTTTAGTGAGAAGCTACAGGTCAGAGCAGCATGGTGAGTTTAAGGTTCAAGAGAGATTTTGTGAGAATTAATGAGAGTGAAGTCTGTGACAGTGTACAGGCATGTGTGCATGAACATCAAGCTTACAGACAAACAAGCAAAAGGCTGGCTGTGTTTATCAGACAGCATACTCTCCTCTTTCTCTCTCTCACACACACACACACACACACACACACACACACACACACACACACACACACACACACACACACACACACACACACACACACAAAAAAAAAAAACCTGTGGGACCATTCCTGGGGATTTATGCAAGCTGAGATTCTTGCAGAATGATAAAACCACGTGTCTCAGGGTTCTTTGAAAGCTAAAGAGGGGATCCTGGCAGGCCCATCATGAATTCCTTTTCAAATAAATCTGCATTGACCTCACACATAAAGCTCCACATCTATCTCTATATCCTGACTCCAACTCAAAGAAACGAGAAATATGAACAGTACACAGATCATGACTTTATGGAGATGATTGCATTTTTTATCTTATCTGAGAGGTTTTACTCTCATGAGAGGATATACATTTATCTTCTAGTTAATATCAGACATAGAAAATTAAATGTATCTGCATATCTTCATATATATTGATAACTGCTTCTTTGGCCTCTGTTTATTGAGGGAGTAAGAGCCAAAACAAGCATGTGAGGCACATGCATGCTTTCTCCTCCTTTTACAAAAGTGTTGGGTTTCTTTTTTTTTATAATGTATATATATTTACATTCTGCAGCAACATTGGACCTCTGTGCAGACGGCAGCTCTTTGTTTTTTATCAGTGGATTCTTATGGGGGAGTTTCTACAGTTATAAATACTTTTAGCAACCAAAACACAAAGGAAGCTTAAAGGGGACATTCTAACCAACCGGGCCTGTTTGGTTCTGGGGTTGGATCAAGAGGGGAGGTTAAAGCAGGGGGTGGAGGGGAAGACAGAGCTATGCAGGAAATGTTCAAGAGGTAGAAGTAAGATTGCTTCTAATGGCTCTTCCAGACCTGGAGGATCTCTGGAGGATCACCTCCAGCACCATCTACAATCCACTGGACAGTTTCCCCTCAGAACTACAGAGTGGGATCACAAATGGTGAGCAGAGTGACCATCTCCAACAGTCAGCTGTGAGAGTGAGGACTGAGGGCCTCAAGAAACATCCATGGTGGGAAGTTTGACTTAGTGCAGAGATTTTTTTTTGATAATCAGATCAGAGAATTGTTAAATGACTGAATGAACGGGCCTTTAACACACTCGTCAAATGTGCTGTTTGCATGAGGAGGACCTGCTTTCATTGTGTTCAAAGAAAACCTATTAATTAAATTGCACCATCAGACAAAATCATGTGACCTAGTTGAAGGAGTTTTGCTCTTTTAGCTTTTTGACTGCTGCAGGACCTTAAAGAAACCTATCCTCCAAATCCTAAGAGAAATACAACTAAAAACGAGAGGCTTGATCTAAAAAAAAAAAAAAAAAAAATAGGGGGAAAGGCAAAATGTGGGACCTAAATAATATTCAATAATTTCTTACTTTTTAAATAAAATATTTATCGAAATACTAAAAATGATTTGACTGAATTTATTTTCTCTCCAGAACAGAGTGGTGAGGACGGACGCATTTTCTCTTCTCAGTTGAAATCTGGAAACCCTTGATTTTTAGACACTGACGGGCGGATTAAAGGTGGGCACCATTTTATTTATTTCAATATTTGAAGGTCATTAAAATAGCAATTGAATTTAAAAAAAATATTGTTGTGAATTGGTCGAAATTAAAACAAATGAAAAACGAAAACATGCACTTTAGAAAGTCAGTAAAAACTGACAAATCCCTCTCGGATCTGTAGTGGTTGATGTTGTTTGAAGTTCGTGTCTCTGGTGTCTTACCGTGCACATCTCCGTCGTCGGCCATGGCGTTGATCTTCTTGTTGGGCAGGACCTGCACATGCTTGCCGCTGGTCCGACTGTACAGCTGGTAGATCCGGATCAACCTGCGGCTCACGCGGTCCGTCACTTTGCTCTGCTCGCTTACATGCTGCGTGAAATTAGGCGGGGACTGATTGGTTACCTGTCAGAAATTAGATGTCATCACAATCATCATCTGCGTACATTCGTCCTGTTAATGTTGATTTATTTATAAATATATCTTGCTGACATTAAACTGGGCAAAAAGGAGAAAAAAATAGTGAGAATGATGCCAGATGTGTGTTTTCTGGTCGCTGTAGGAAATGGTTGAAACACTTAAGCGCAGTGGGAAAAGAGATCCTCACACAACAACAGCTTGTTGTTGTTTTTTTTCCCAGAGCGACAAGTGTAACAAGTTCCAGGAAGGCTGCTGCCAAATGAAATTAACAGCTTCCAAAAAAGACGCACGGCGTGATTACAGGTTGTGCGCACAGGAGAATTTGCGCCACAGCGCAAAGGAAAAATTTGATGGAGAAGATCTCCTTTAGACATCCATTGTTAAATTTACCAACACGATGCATACCTAAAATTTTAAATCAAATCTGATTTAGTGTGGTGGAATGACTGCTGCGAACGGAAACATTGGCCTTGCTCATTTTGAACCCCACGACATTTTTCACAAGACTTGCAAGCATTTCCCTCTGCCCCGATGCCCCGTCTGTGCCCGCGCGCCCCGTGCCAGGGCCGGTGTGTTCATCATGCCAGCAGGCCGTGCGCCCTGCTGCCCGGTGCGCCGTGGGAGCCATCCGATATTGTTGTATCACAGAATGCTACGATGATCCCTCACCTTTCCTGTCATCCTGTCACCGCCCCATATATCTCAACTTTGACTGCGCTTCGTCTCCGAGATTTTTAAGCAACAATCATTTATGTTGCGCGCAGGGAAGGACATTCTGAAACATTTAATGAAACGAGATGAAATGAAGATAGTAACATACCTGAGCGTAATAGCAAAATGCAAGCAAGTGTAGAAACCTGCCAAAAAGAAGAATAAGAGGTGTTAAGTTTCACCAGAGCTGCGTAAAAAAGCAAAAACAAATAGTCAAGAGTGGAACAGAGGAATAAGGACAGACTCACAGATAGCTGCGCCTGAGTGGGATGAGTTGCATGTTGGATGGAGGTGACAAATATCCTTCCAGGTGATACAGAGAGCAGATCTTGCTCGAAATTAAACAGTTTTGTCCAAAGATTTCACCGAAATCCACAAAGGGTCAGAGGCGCTGTTAGGGATGATTATGCATGTCCAGCAGACAAATTCTCCACCAAATCAAAGTCCATCACCGAAGAGCTCCTGCTCTGCTGACAGGCTGCTCAAAGAAAATGGTAAATGAAAATTTCTTTTTTTTTCAATGTCTCTCGGATGTCTCTGAAGGCTGTTCTGTCTAAGTGCACTTGCAGAAGCGGATTTGTGCGATGAAGTTCTGCGAAAAGCGCTGCAGGGTTCTGGTCTTCAGTTTTTCGTCCTCGCTGTCAGACTAATCCTGCAGGTTTGTAATCCCTGTGGTGCTTTGCGGCCTTCAGGTGAGTGTGATGCCGGGCTCGCTCGGGTCCTCCGTGTTCTCACAGTGACTCGATGCTGCTGCTCCACTCGGTTGTGTCAGGACTGCAGACAAGACGCTCCTTCTCTCCTCTCTGCTCCCATCCCACACTGCTCCTGTGTCAAGCCTCTCACTCGGCGCTAACACACCCCCGGTTAAAATGGCAGGCTGATCTGCTAAGAACAAGCCCCCTTTTCTGCAGAACAAAAGCGGACAGCCCCAGTCCCACTTCCCCCTTCCTCCCCCTTGATTTAAAACATCTCTTTACCTGAAGAGCAGTCCATGCTGAGTAGGGGGAGAGAGGGCGAGGAGGAGCCTGGGCTGCCTGCTCTACCACCAAAAGTCTGGGGGGAAAAGCACTAAAATATACACAGCTGGCCTCTGATCACGATCATACACAGACATAAGTTCATATCAGTAGATCATGAAACCTAGTGACCCCCCAGGAGCATCCTCCTCTTTTTATTCTCTGTTCTTCCAGTTTTGGGGACGCGCTGAGCCGAGCAGGAGCTGCCCAGCTTTGTGTATTCACAGAGCAAAGTGTGAGACATATTAAAAGGATTACAGACGATTAGCGCTTTTTGAAACTCCCTCCCTTCATTGGAGGAAAAGAGTTTCTTCTGTCCCTCTTCAAAGGTGAACTCATCTGCAGTGACAAACAGGCTTTCACAGACTCATTCATGCTTTTCATGAACTTCTGAGAGCGGAGCTGCTGGAGAGGACACACAGACACTGGGTCATTGAGGAGAACAGCTGACAGAGGGCATTCATTAGAGTCTCATTAATGTTTTTGACAGAAGTGATACTCCACATTAATTTACCGTGAACCGCGCCCTCTTATGACTTTATCCCTCACCTGAAGGCTTCTTATCAGTAAGACTTTATTGATTGATCTGCCCATTAATTAGACTGCTGGGTATCGAGCACCACAGAAACAGACACAGAAACTAACGCAGTCTGATGACGAGTAAACATCATTTCAAAAAGCGCTTACATTAGCAGAAGAAGCTTCAGAAGGTCCATTAATTTGTCGGTTTGAAATGAAAAAAGAGGTCATTCTGCGCACAGGCACCGGGGCAGTGCATGTAAGAGTGCCCAGCGCAAAACAACAATTATTCATTACAGTTTGGCGGGAAAGGTCTTAAATGGTAAATACATGAAAGTCTTACTCAGAGTGTTTCAATGGCAGCTCAAACTACCGCTGCCTCCAACCTGCAGGAAGGATGCTTTCCCCTGTCAGCCTGTCATACAGATACTGGTCACCAGTGGGCGCTCCACAGAGGATGATTGGGTGTAGCCTGAGTCAGTCCCCCCTAGTGTCTGTGATGGAGAAATAATGTGACAGTATAAAAGACACATAGAGCAGTGACTCTGATTCATCTGCTCTAAGATCAGGCCTCAGTTTGTCACATTGTCACATTTGTCACATTTTCTGCTTCATTGATACCCCCCCCCCCCATGATCATGTATTTACTCCATGATCAGATGTTGCTTTCATGAAAATGCACTATTTTACTCCATTTACCTTTAGATATACATTGATGTTAACAGACCATTCTTAAATACAATTTCAGTGCAAAAGCAAAAAAAACAAAAACAAATCACAATTGGATTATTCACTTCAACTTTTAGCTTTTGAGAGCCTGCATACAAAAATCCTAATAAATCTCAACAGCTTTCAAAGTACAGCAAAAATGGCTAGAAAGAAGCAACTGAGTAAAGAAACAAAAGTACAGATTTGTACATTGAGGAAAGAAGGATACACAGAAAGAGAAATTGCAAAATGCCTAAAGGTGTTTAACACAGGAGTCCACTACATCCTGAAGAGACGAGAGGAACCTGGAAGTCATGATGATAGAAAAAGACCTGGACGAAAGAGAGTTACTACAAAAGCAGAGGATAAACATATCATTGTCACCAGTAAGAGATATCGGTGAAAGACAGCACCACAAATAAGGGAGGAAATCAACATGATAAGGTCGAAACCCATATCTCTGACAACATTGAAAAGACGTTTGAGAAAGGCTGGTCTGAGGGGTTGTGTATCTGCAAAAAAACACTACTTTGCCCACAGAACAGGAAAAAAAGATATGAGTGGGCAAAAGCTCACAAAAATTGGACTTATGATGACTAGAAAAAAGTTTGCACTGTTTGGTTCAGAACGCAGAGTCTATGTCCGCAGACAAATTGGTGAACGTCTGAAAGCATGTAACACCATGTGTTACACCCACAACTCAGCATGGAGGTGGTAGTTCCATGGTATGGAAATGTTTTGAAGGAGATTTGTTTGAAGTATATACATACATATATATATATATATATATATATATATATATATATATATATATATATATATATATATATATATATATATATATATATATATGCACATATATAAATAAATATATATATATATATATATATATATATATATATATATATATATATATATATATATATATACACATATATAAATATATACATATATAAATATATGTGCAATGCATCAGGAAAGTATTCATACCACTTCACTTTGTCCACAATTTGTTATGTTACAGCCTTATTCCAAAATGGATTAGATTCCCTTTTTCCCTCAAAAATTCTACACAAAATACCCCATAATGACAGAATGAAAAACGTTTTTTTAGAACATTTTGCAAATTTATTAAAAATAAGAACACTCAAATGTTGCATATACATAAGTATTCACACCCTTTGCTATAAAAATCAAAATTAAGCTCAGGTGCATCCTGATTCCACTGATCAGCCTTGAAATGTTCCTTCAACTTGATTGCACTCCACCTGTGGCAAATACAGCTGATTGGACATGATTTGGAAAGCCACACCTGTCTATATAAGATCCCACAGCTGACAGAGCACGTCAGAGCACAAACCAAGCCATGAAGTCAAAAGAATTGTCTGTAAACCACTGAAACAGGGTTGTATCGGTGCACAGATTTGGGGAAGGTTACAGAAAAATATCTGCTGCATTGAAGATCCCCAAAAAGCACAGTGGTCTCCATCATTAAGAAATGGAAGACGTTTGGAACCACCAGGACTCTTCCTAGAGCTAAAATGAGCAAGCAGGGGAGAAGGGCCTTGGTCAGGGAGGTGACCAAGAACCCGATGGTCACTCTGACGGAGCTCCAGCGTTCCTCTGAGGTAGAGTGGCCAGACAGAAGCCACTCCTCAGTAAAAAGCACATGACAGCCCGCTTGGACTTTGCTAGAAGGCACCTGAAGGACTCAGAGACCAGGAGAAACAAAATTCTCTGGTCTGATGAAACAAAGATCAAACTCTTTGGCCTGAATGCCAAGTGTCATGTCTGGAGGAAACCAGGCACCGCTCACCACCTCGTCAATACCATCCCTACAGTGAAGCATGGTGGTGGCAGCATCATGCTGTGGGGATGTTTTTCAGCGGCAGGAACTGGGAGACTTGTCAGGATCAAGGGAAAAATTAATGCAGCTAAGTACATCAAAATCCTTGATGAAAACCTGCTCCAGAACACTCGAGACCTTCGACTGGGGCGGCGCTTCATCTTCCAGCATGACAATCACCCTAAGCACACGACCAAGAAGACAAAGGAGTGGCTTCAGGACAAGTCTCTGAATGTCCTTGAGTGGCCCAGCCAGAGCCCAGACTTGAACCCGATTGGAAATCTTTGGAAAGACCTGAAAGTATACTGTGCACCGACTCTGCCCATCCAACCTCACTGAGCTTGAGAGGATGTGCAAGTAGGAATGGGGAAAACTCCCCAAATCCAGGTGTGCCAAACTTGTTGCATCATACACAAGAAGACTGGAGGCTGTAATTGCTGCCAAAGGTGCTTCGACCAAGTATTGAGTAAAGGGTGTGAATACTTATGTATATGCAACGTTTGAGTGTTTTAATTTTTAATAAATTTGCAAAATGTTCTAAAAAAAGTTTTTCGCTTTGCCATTATAGGGTATTTTGTGTAGAATTTTTGAGGGAAAAAGGGAATTTAATCCATTTTAGAATAAGGCTGTAACATAACAAAATGTGGAAAAGGTGAAGTGGTATGAATACTTTCCGGATGCACTGTATATCTATACAGGAGTGTGTGTGTGTGTGTGTGTGTGTGTGTGTGTGTGTGTGTGTGTGTGTGTGTGTGTGTGTGTGTGTGTGTGTGCGTGCGCGATGAGCGGCAGGTAGCTGCCACTTTGTACCCTGGCTCTGGGCCTGACTGCCCTCCCCTTAACCCCAGGAGCTCTGCATCCATCAGCAGCCCAGTGGGGAGGCAAACACCCTTCCCCCCTCTGCTGCTACTCTCCCTCTGTCTTCTCTGCAGCTTCATTCAGGACCAGATCTAAAACATCGGTGTAAATAAAAACATCATTTATCATTAATTACAAGATCTATTTGCTTATAACAGCAGCTTTGACTGGGTCTAGATTCAGCTTCTTGTGTGGCAGAAAAGATCTGTCAGAAGACTAAGAAATAAAAATATGACAGTGAAGTGCTGCTGAGACAGAAAAAAACTGGACTGAGTCAAATTTAGTTTGCAGCTCCCAGAATAAAATGGCATTGAAAAGAAGATCATCATCAACATCTCTCTCTCTGTTAGAAATCCCTGAATCCTCACTGATGTGTCTGATGTGAGTTCATGTCCAAACTTCGGTTTCTTTCTATTGAAATTATCTACCTCTACCGTCTTATTTCCCCTCTTCAGTTGACTACCTTGGGCACCTCTCTCTCCATTATTCCTGCTCTGCAATATGCAGCCATCTGCCACCTCTAGCCCTCCCTCTGCTCTACCTTCTCGCTCCATCATTTTCAATCCACTTCCCTTGATATCTCCAAAACAGAAATTCAATTAGATGCTATCTGTATGGTTTGAAATAAGATAATTTGTCATGCATCATAAAAATACTGAGATGCCGACCATAACCAGATTAAACCTCCAAAATCTTGGCCCCTTTTAGTGTCAGTGCACCTCAAGTATGGCAGAGTTTCTAATCCTTTCTCTGATTGATAAAGCTCCTGATGGTCAGGGTCCATCACATTAGTGCTGCACTAGGCCTCGCCAAAAGATCACTCACATCTTACAGGTCTGCACATGGTGTCTGGAGAAGGGCCGCTAGCTTTTTAATTATTGGTCCTCCTATTAGGCAGGGTCATGCATGAAGACACCCTCACTACTCATAAGAGGAGGTTTAAACTGTACAAGTGAAAGGAACTGAGTCAGGTTCGAGTTAAAGTTCTGGAGTACATGCTTTAAAAAAATACATAAACTACATAAAAAACATGGTCGTATTTTAATGATTCATGAGTGCAGTCAAGAA